GAATTTCCTGGACTGGTGCTTCTACATCTCCCACCTGGCAGCCCTGACCAAAACTGTCAGTCTACAGTATGTCACCTGCAAGCGGTTCAATGCATGCCAAGGATTGACGGTACACCCAGGAATCCAGTCGTATGGAGCAACGCCCTTCGAGGACTTCCAGGTAGACTTTACTGAAATGCCCAGGTTTAGAGGGAACAATTACTTGCTGGTGATGATCTATCAGACTTGGAATAGATAAAAGCCTTCCCCACCAGGATAAAAAGGACTCTTGAATTAGCAAAAGTATTGCCTAGAGAAATCGTACCATGGGTTAGGTTGCCACTCTGGTTTAAATTTGACAATGGGCTAGACTTCTTAGCAGAACAGGTGCAAATAACAAGCTAAACCTTTGAATAACTTGTAGGCCTCAAAGCTTAAACAGGATAAAGTGTGTGAACCGGACCATAAGAGCAGAAATTAGTAAACTCTGCCAGGAAGCAAAGCTTAATTGGATATAGGCCTTGCCACTGGTGTTGTTCAAAGAGGCCTCTGTCAATCCTCTGCAATTTAGCAGGAGCTCCTAAAAGAACTGGGAAAGACTGAACTGAAAAGACAAAAACCCTAGAAAGAGTAGCCAGGAAAGTCTCCACTGGGGTAATTAACCGTGTTCTGTTTAGTCTTTTGTGTCTGTACATCCTTTCTCTCTGGAGGATCAAAGGGACCAAGTCTAGGTCTAGAACTGGTCCCCCTGAAACCAAAGTAGGAAGGACTTTCCACCATCATCCTGACCTTCAATGCACAGCAGTGAAGGTGGAAGGACTCCTCACCTGGAGTCATCACAGTTGGCTGAATAGGACTTCACTGCCCCTTGGGAAGTAAAGGCAACTTTTAAGACAGTCAACATGGCCTGCTCCAGCCACATACCGGGAGTTGGCTGGTCCACGCATGGCTAAAGCCTGAGGAAACTCCTCGAGGGACTTGTCTTAATTGGACTTAGGGAAAATATCACAGGGAAAAGTAAAAACTTATATGTGTATTAGGCCAAAACCATGGTACTATTAAGGCCTGAGTAGAGAACCCAAGAAGAATCACAGTCCATAAAACCTTAGTGCTAAAAAGTAATTAATATCGGCACCTGCAGAAACAAGCTGATATTGAGACCCCAAATTAAAAATATTTTGGAGTCTCAAAAGGGGGGAATGAGAGAGGATACCTGAGAAGGGCAAGGTGTAGGAAAACAGGTCTTCTCAAAGAGACCACAGTGATGCACCTGCAGGGTCTTCTCCATGGTGACTCAGCTCTTGGGAATTTGTAGGCTTAACTTCCTGGAACCTGGAAATTTCCAAGTTCTGTGAAATCATGTAGTTCTGAAGGGGCTGGACTAGCATCTCCTGCTTGATTCAAACTGGCCAATGAGAAGGGTACTTGTGGGGTGGAGCTTTTTGACTGTCAATAAAAAGGGAAAGACCAAGCCAGTCGGGGAGCATGGCCATTTGGAAATCTTCTATGCCATAAGCTCCCGGCCGATGAATAAAGCTCTTCCTTCTATAAACGTGGTGTTTGGGTACTCTTTCTCTCTGTTGGGCCTCATCTTCCTGCAACAGCACTGCCTCAAATCTTAATGTGTGAAACTTCTAGGGAAGTTCCAGATGAGGGCAATAAAGGAGCCAAAGAAATTGCACCCTCAAATATTATTCCTTGGTATAAAGAATACTTTAAATTAAAGGCCATTTTTGATAAGAAAGCACTGGCCTCTCTAAAACCTGAGTAACCTGATTTAGAATCAGAAAAGCCTGCTGACCTCCTTATCACATGCTGAAAGACCTGGCTACTAGCTCATTTGAACCACAATATCTGTCTCTCAGGTTAATTTACACATCAATCTATTTCCCTCCATCTACCCATCCCCTCTTAGCAACCACTTGCTACAAGTATACTTTCCAGTTTCTGTCCCCTCTCCATTTTAAAAGGCATCATGAAAAGCCACTGATTATCACTGAGACTTTGGAAATTCATTCTTGTGGTTTCCCCCATGGGCATGGTATTTGGAAATAAATCTTTCTCTTATTAATCTACCATAACTGTGACTTGATATTTTCAGCAAACCAAACTAGGGGAAAAGGGCAAGGTTCACCATGACTCCCTTGCCCATCATCCAAACACTGTACCTTGTACCCAATAGTTGATTTTTGATCCCTCCCTCACATCCTGTGAGAGCCAAAGTAGCTCCATTTTGTTGTTTACAGCACAAGCCCCATTCCTAGCTGTTTACCGCATAGCTCTTCCGCCCCAACCTCTGCCAGTGAAACCTGCAGAGCCACTCCCTGCTGCCTTCTCCCACCCCAGGTTGCACAGCCACTGCGCTGTAAACTGAGTCACCTTAGGCAAATAGCTGCTATAATAAACAGTAAGTTTCTATTACCTTGAAATACAGGTAACCAGGTTGCACCAACTCTAGCCCCTAGTTAAGAGACCCCACACTCCTCACCTGTACCAATCCAAAATCACCTTTACTAGTGAAATCATCAGCCACCAATGCAAATCCTCCTTTACTTCCTCCTTTAATAATGAAATCACCAACCACCAATGAAAAGTGTACTCGTATCCGACTCTACCCCTCTTGCTTTCTGTACCCCATAAAAACTTCCTCCACCCCAGGTTCGGGGCTCGTCCTTGGCTTGCATGCCAGGAGAGTTCAGGCTCGGGCCTTCCCAGGCCTGAATAAATCTCACCTCATGCCTTTTACATTGGAATGTGTCTCGGATTTGTTTGCCAGGGTCTTTTGGAAGAATTTCGGGCACAACAATCCCACCCTCCCACTTTTAGAGTCTTGGTGTTGATTATTCTACTCTGTATGTACATGCTGAACTTGTTTTTAGATGCCACTCACATAAATGATGTATTTGATTTTTCTATCCTTGAGTAACTTCAATTGCCAGATCAAATGGTTGACCTATTGTTACTTCTTTGAGAAATCTCCATACTATTTTCCCTGAGTTTGTACTAATTTCCATTCCTACCATCAACATTCCCTTTCTCTACATCCTTAACATCATGGATTGCTTTTTGATGTTTTTCTTAGTGTGAATCGTTCTTTAATTTACTATTTCAAAAGCCATTTACCATTGGCATCTTTTCATTTATCAGTGCAGGCCACTTACTTTTTAAAAAAAAATCTTAAGGGTATTCCAGGATATCCATGGGCCATGATTTAAATATTCCACTAGATAAGTGATTTCCAACTGGTGTGCCATGAGGTCTTAGGTGTGCCTCAAACATTTTCAAAGATCGTTAATTAAATTATTTTTCAAAGGTGTTGGAAGCACAGTAAGTATATCCTTTTTTTAACTCTTCTTTTCATCAACATACTGAAAGTGTGCCACAGAAGTTTAAACAGAGGTTCAAGTGTGCTGTGTGATAAAGAATGTTGAAAAACACTAAGCTAGATCTTTGGTTCCCAAGTACAATAAGATTATAGATATTTCTTCCTTTGGAAACTGTACCCTATTGATACAGGGTTCCCCATGCAGGGCTAGATAGGGATAGCACCCCACCCCTATATCTTAAGAATCCCTTTTCACTAACTCTTGATCTTTTGGACAAAGCCTAAACTCTTTTAACAAATGGTCATTTAAGAATCTTTAAACCGGCTCGGCGCCTGTGGCTCAGGTGGCTAGGGTGCCAGCCACATACACCTAAGGTGGTAGGTTCGAATCCAGCCCGGGCCTGCCAAACAACAATGATGGCTGCAACCAAAAAATAGCTGGGCTTTGTAGCAGGCGCCTGTGGTCCCACCTACTTGGGAGGCTGAGACAGGAGACTCGCTTGAGCCCAGGAGTTGGAGGTTGCTGTGAGCTGTGATGGCACTCTACCCAGGGTGACAGCTTGAGGCTCTGTCTCAAAAAAAAAAAAAAAAAAGAATCTTTAAACCCTGGCTCAGTGCCCAGAGCAGAGTGGTTATGGCACCAGCCATATACACAGACTGGTGGGTTGGAACCTGGCCTGGGCCAGCTAAACAGAAACGACTGCAACAACAACAACAAACAAAATAACCAAGAGAATTGCTTAAGTGCAGGAGTTTGAGGTTGCTGTCAGCTTTGAGGCAAGTACAAAAGTTTGAGGTTGCTGTGAGCTGTGAAGCCTCTATACTTTACCCAGGGCAATATAGTGAGACTCTGTCTGAAAAAAAAAAAAAAAAGAATCTTTAACCCCACCTATAACCTGTAAGCTCCTGCATCCAGATGTCCCACCTTTCTGAGACTAACCAATGTATGTTTTCCCCGTATTAATGTATGGCTTCACCTGCAATTCTTGTCTCCCTAAAATATAGAAAACTAAACTCTTCCCCCACCAGTTGGAGTCCACTTCCTCATACTTTATTGCATGTGTCTCCGGGTCATGATCCTCAAATTTGGCTCAGAATAAACCCTCAATTATTTTACAGAGTGTGGTTTCTTTTCTCTCCACAAATTATTAGGCTAACAGCTGCTGATGAACAGAACAAGTGAAAGCAAACACCCCATGCTACTTACTGGTCACTAAATATAAAACAACTGCAAGAGGGAGATTTCATTCAGAAGTTAGGAGAAAATGGCAAAGCTTGGGGTGACTAGCACCTGGAAGGCTATAGGACGGACCTCACTCACCTGAGATGTGGAGATCGGTATTGCTGGAAGTCTGGGATATTGGTAAAGACCTCAAAGCACTGGAAGCCAGAAGCATGGGTGTCCCACGCAAGATAGCTGTGCTGGTCTCTCTGAGGCTAATAGTGAGATTGGCCTGGAGTGAATTAAAAAGAAAGTTGGAGATGTTGGGGGTGGGGGGGAGATTCAAATCACCTAGTGCTGCCAGGGTAAAATCTCTTATTCAGGAAACACTGACATAAAGTGTCAGAGAAAATGGATGTCCCAGGCCTTGAAAAGTCCGTGAAAATCTGAAGAGCAAATTTCAGAAACACAAATAAAAACACATTTCTAATTATTTAAAACAAGTAAGGAGAAACTTGCCAGGTCTTAATTTTTTTAATGGCCTTTTTTGGATCCAGTTTTGGGAATTGGTGCAGGGGACATTTTTGTGGAACCTTGGCTCTGGGTAGAAGGCGCCCTGCTGGGTGGCCTCTGCAGTTTTTCCTTTTCTTTCTGAGGCTGCTTTGGTTTCCCTTCTTGACTGACCACGGATGGCGCCCTGCTGGGTGGAGCACTTAGTACATTTTTCTCTCCCTGACTGACCACGGATGGCGCCCTGCTGGGTGGAGCACTTGGCATTGTTTTCTCTCCTTGACTGACCACGGATGGCGCCCTGCTGGGTGGAGCACTTAGTACATTTTTCTCTCCCTGACTGGCCACGGATGGTGCTCTGCTGGGTACAGCACTCTTGGGCTTTTCTTTTGCTTTTACTTCTTTTTGCTTTATCTCTTTCTTCTTTGATTTTTTCCTGCAAAGCATGAAACAAAGGCAACATAACAAAATAAGCAAGATGAGAAGCACCAGTAGACACGGGAAACAAAACTTCTTTTTCCTCTCTGTCTTAGGTGGAGGGCCACTGTCAACACTGCCTCCATAGCCTTTCATCACACAGTGGGGAGGGTCCCATAGGTAGTTGCAGTGGCAATGATGTTTATTGTTACAGATGCCTCTCATGTTACAGAGCTCAGGTGAGCAATTGCTGTCCAGGAAGGCTATGTGGACACAATGCTGCTTGATGCACATATGATCCTGGCCACATTCTGTGCCGTCTTTCACATCCCCAATGTCCGGTATGGTCATCCCAATGTGGTAGTCAGTGCCCCAGCACGTGGCGTCACTGAAGTTAGACAAATACACGGTTGTGTGGTCGCTCAGAGAGGGGAGCTCTTTCACGTTCTCACACTGAAGTCTCCCGCACAGGATGTCCAACTTGCCGCATTTTACGTAAGTGGAGCCTTTGATACCGCAGTGGCCGACTCGGGTACCCTGGGTGTTCACACGTTTATAGCAGGACTGGATGGCGTTCTTGGCATCTTTGCCAAAAATTTGCTGGCAGTGTTGGTCACGGTCATTGCACCGCTTTTCGTAACAGTAAGACCTGTCGTTGCAGGGGATCCCATCTTCCACGTACACGTCATCAGGACACTTGTGGGAGGTGCCGTTGCACCACTCGGGAAGGTCGCACTGGTTGACCTCCTTTCGGCACAGCTCCCCTGATGGCAGAAACTGGCAGTTTTTGCAGCAGAGCCCGTAGGCGCAGGCCGAACCTTGGGTCAGGGTGCAGTCAGGCATGCAGCAGGGGTCTTTGGCACAGTGCTTCAAAACGCCACAGTCACACTGTTCTTCTCCTTCCACCACGCCGTTCCCGCACCGCTTCAGGTTGAATATGTCTTTCGTGTGGAAGTGTTCCAGCAAACACTTTGTTTTCTGCACCGTGTACTGGTAAAAGTAGTCATAGCTGCAGTTGCTGAATTTCGTCGTGGGTGGGTTGTGCTCATGCATGATACACTTGGGGTGCGCGCACTTACACGTGGGTCTGTCATGAGGCATGCCCACGTTGTGGCCCAGGTGGTGAGCTGTCGCAATTGCGGATCTGCCCAGGGTTTTGTTCCAAAAAGTGATAATAGCACAGTTACGCAGTCCTGTACACGATCCTCTGGTTAAGCCTGAGCCTGATAACCCTCTCAATTCCCGATTCATGAAGAGATGTGCAATGTCGTGTCGTAGCTCGGCATAAATGGTCGTCCATTTCCACTGGCAAAACCTGGGGGCAGAGAAGTTGGGATCATCTACGACAAAGGGATTCTTTTCTGTCCAGATCTCCAGATTCACTAGTAAAATCCGATTGCCAATGACTAAGTGGATGGAATTCACTATATTGTTGAGGACATAGAGATCTTCCATCAACTTTGACTCATTTCTTTCATAGCGTTTGTATAAATAAGAATCGGCCACTATCACAAATTCAATGATCCTAATGTGAACCCACCAGCCCTCATAAGAAGTTGGATACCGGGAAGATTCATTAGTTTCCTGAAATTGTATATGGCAGCTGATTTCATTTTTCATGAGTCCAGATCTTACCGTTGGAAATTGTGCCTCCTTGCCATCAACTATATAGACCAAATGTTCAAATGTGGTAGAAAACATCATGGGCTTGATTTCATAAACAATGTCACTTATCTGTAATATTCCCTGAAAGCCCCCAAAACAGGTGCTGAGAGCAACCAGAGATTCTGGGTCCCCCTCCACATGACCGTGATAGTAGCAGTCGTTCTGGACAAAAGGCTGGTCCTCGAGGACAGCACCCTGGTCCGTGTAGGTGAACACAGACAGGTGTGGAGACAGCAGAATCCTCTTGACTCTCAGGTGGATGATGTGCTCCTGGCCCCCAAAGTGCAGGCTATAGGAGAGCCAGCCAGGTGTCTTCTTGCCTCTGGCAGTGCCAGTCACCTTCAAGGGTATTACCACCTCTGGGGGGTTGTGATAACGAGGGTGCTCATCCTCTGTGTGTCCAGAACAGAACAGGAATACCCCAAGCCAGTGAAGCAAGACTAAGATCTTCAAGTTCCACAGGGTTTCAGTCACTGTCATTATGAGGCCAGAGCTATGAAAACATGCAGGGGAGAGCCTTGGGGCTGGAGCCACAGCCTGTGTGATGGCTTCTTCTGAGCTGGTCAGTGTGCTGGAGGCTCATCACAGGTACACCTGCTGGAAGAGCTGCACTATCAGAGCTACAATGAAAAGAAAGGAAAAGAAACACATGGGTGAGTGGTTATGGGATGGTGTTGTGGGCAGGGTGGGGGAGAGGGAGAGAAGCACAGAAGGAGAGTGATTAGCACACCACATGGGTCAAGGGCTGAGTATGGAAACTGCCTGGAATTGGCTCTAGATACTGATAGGGAAGAGGGTGAGAGGAAGCATCCATCAAATGAAAACAGGCCATGGTTTGATAGTTCTTGCATGTAGGTGATGGGGAAAATGCATTTATTATACCATACTCTAAACATATGAATATTTGAAAACATTTCCACAGTAAATAAATAGAACAAAAAAATCTTTCTTCCTGCCTTCCTTTTTTTTTTTTTTTTTGAGACCGAGTCTCACTTTATTGCCCTTGCTAGAGTGCCGTGATGTCACAGCTCACAGCAACCTCCAACTCTTAGGTTTAAGTGATTCTCTTGCCTCAGCCTCCCAAGTAGCTGGGACTACTGACACCCACCACAACCCCCGGCTATTTTTGTTGTTGTTTTAGTAGTTGTCATTGTTGTTTTTAGCAGGCCTGGGCTGGGTTCATACCTGCCAACCCCAGCGCATGTGGCTGGTACCCTAACCATTGAGGCAAAGGTGCCTAGCCCTTCCTTCCTTTCTTTCTTTCTTTTTGAAATGGAATCTCGGATGGTGTCTGAGGCACAGTTGGTAGGGCACCAGCCCCATATACTGAGGGTAGAGAGTTTGAACCCAGCTCTGGCCAAACTGCAACAAAAAAATAGCTGGGTGCTGTGGGGGGTGTCTGTAATCTCAGGTACTTGGGAGACTGAAGCAAGAGAATTGCCTAAGCCCAGGAGTTGGAGGTTGCTGTTAGCTGTGATGCCACAGCACCCTACTGAGGGTGATAAAGTGAAACTCTGTCTGTATAACAAGCAAGGAAACAAACAAACAAGAAATAGAGTCTCACTCTGTCACCCTGGGTAGAATGCCATGCCCTCATCATAGTTCACAACAATCTCAAACTCCTGGGTTCATGCGATCCTCCTGCCTCAGTTTCCCAAGGAGTTGGGAATACAGGTACTCACCACCACACTCAGCTAGTTTTTCTATTTTTGGTAGAGGTGGGATTCTTGTTCTTGTTCAGGCTGGTCTCAAACTTGAGAACTCAAGTGATCCTCCTGCCTCAGCCTCCTAGAGTGCTGGGATTATAGGCATGAGCCACCATGTCCAGCCTGAACATTTCTTGAAGATAAGCTGAATATATAACTTAGACAGCTGGGATAGCTGCAATTTGCACAAGTTGAATTATCATATGCATTAATATAAGCATTTCTTTTCAATTTCAGGTGATAAAATTACTTGACAACATTTCTAAGAGATGTTTTTCAAAGTGGCTCTCATGTTATTTTGAATTTCCTGTGGTACTTATATGTAACTTTCTGCAGCTACATGTGGATTTAATTTTCTTTTTCCTTTGTGAACATCGTGTGGGTCTCTCACAAATATTGGTATCTCATTCAATGCCTGGTTTTGTTCTTTACGTAATAAATAATGGCCACCTTGATGTCAAGTGGTTTTTTGGGGACTCATACAGGTCTTACCCAAAATGTGTTAATGCCTCATTACATTTTTGGAGAAGAACAGACAACATCTGTGGCCAATTTGTGTTTGGGAACAAAATGTTATAGATTCAATTTTCCCTAATCCTTCCTTCCAAATCCAACTTTCCCTGGAACAAGTCTATGGGCAAATGGACCCTGAAAGCTAAAGAGAAGAACGCTGACCAGTGACCTCTGGACTTGAGGAATGACAACACCATGAGTTCTCTGAGTTTTCTTCTCACCTCTGAGGTATATCCCAAACTGGGTGCTGGATGTATCTTTGACCTGAAACTGCTGATGGGGTATAGACAAAAACTGAAAACCAAAGAAACAAACCCCAGAAAACTGAGGAAAATATTTCACTTTTTGGCAAGATGAGGGAGAATGGAAAAGCTCAACAAAGATCTGTCAGGTGCTCCTGTCTCGTTCTTACAGGCAGGACACATGTGTGCTGACCCGCCCACAGTGGCAGCTACAGAGACCTGGCAGACTCCCTCAAAACACACTCCACATTCAGTGCCCTGCAGGGCTGTCCACGCCACTGCCACTGACAAGAGGATGACATTAGATGACCAGATAACTGTCATTTATGACCAGGTAAATAGCTGGTTGGTCTGTATTCACCTCTCCTTACAACTAGGGCCATGAAATGGAATCTGGATTAGAGGGAGGGAGGAAGGAAGGAAGGAAGAGAGAGAGGGAGGGGAGGGAAGGTTGATTTTACCCAAAACATTTACAGAGTTGACATCTATAGACTTGTGACCAATCTTGTCCTGAAAAAAAATTGTTACTTTTTCACCAGTTAACTGTAAAATTGGTAACCATGGGCATTTAAATAATTTTCAATGACTGTTGTGTCTTTTATTTAGATAACCCATCTTTCTGAGACCTGACCTTCCTTTTGAGGCTTTGTAGGTAAATTACTTTTTTCCTCCATGAAACCCTCCTTTCAAGAAGTAGGAACAATTGGTGAGCATAACCCAAGGTGGAATATTGTAAATGAGTTTACAGTGTTCAACAGTAACAAACAATTGCCAAACATTGCTTCCTTTATTGTTTAATTCAATGGCATATATGAAGTCTTCCAAAAGGTTTAAAAATAAGAGAGACATCCATTAGCAGGTGCTGCCTCCAAGTGGAATGATAAAAGGTATAAAAAGAAAACAAAAATCCAATATTTTGGTGGCTCACTTTCCTATTTTGAGGTTATCAAACCATAGCAATAAAGCATTGGATTATTCCTAATTATAGATGATTTCCAGAGTAGATAATTAAAGCCTCTCTTTAGCCCAACTCAGTACTTCTGTGAATGAGATGATATTTTAAGGTGGACCCTTCCAAAGGGAAATTGTAAGCAGTGTATACTTATGGGTACTGTGATACATAAAGAGAGTAATAGCATGTTGGACAGAGACCTCACAAAAAGATTTGTTCATGTGTTAACCTAAAGAACCTGGGAATATACTGTTACTTGAAAGAAAAGATCTTTGCATATATAATTAAGGAACTTGAGATGAGACCATTCTAGGTTGTGGTAAATCTAATCTAAATCTAATGACAAGTGCCTTTACACACCAAGGGGACATGGCCACATGAAGACTTTCAGGAAGGTGGAGGTAGAGATTGGAGTGACACTGCTACAAACTATGGGCCTCCTGGGGCCACGCCACCAAAAGATTGAAGAGGCAATGAAGGATTCTCTCCTAGAGCCCTCCAAGGGAGGCTGGTCCTACCCACACTTGGATTTAGGATCCCTGGAGTTCAAAATCATGAGAAAATAAAATTCTGTTGTTTTAAGTCACCCATTTCTGGTCATTTCTTATGGAAGCCCCCAGAAGTTGAAACACTACCCCTCCCCAAAGGTCATATTCCCAGCCACAGTCAGGATAATCAGACCATCTCCTGATCATCTGTGCTTCATATTTGGTGCAGATATCTTTTGAAAAGCAGGATTGTCTGAGTGGTAAAAGTTTACCTTTTGTTTCAGTGTATATCTTATAAAAATAGAATCATTCTATGGAACTGAAGAAAAGCCCAAATTTGAAAAAAAGCCAGAGAGGGAAATGTAACGCTATTGCATATACGTTAAGTGTTTCCTTTCCTTATACAAAGTGAGATGGGTATAAAGAACACTTCTAGGAAATCTCTCACTCTCAATTCTTTTCCTTGTCTTTCTCCTCCTCCTCCTGTCAAATTCCTAGTCTCATGATCCTCCTGCCTCAGCCTCCCGAGTAACTGGGACTACAGGTGCCCACCATCACTCCTGCTTACTTTTTCTATATTTAGTAGAGATGGGGTCTCACTCTTGTTCAGGTTGTTCTCAAACTCCTGAGCTCAAGGGATCTACCTGCCTTGGCCTCCCAGAGTGCTGGATTACAGGTGTTAGCCATGACAATTATTGTTAACTCAGCAGCTTTTCTGTTTGTCTGATAGAGCCTTCCTTTTAGATGAAATTTCTCCATGCTAAAAGGAGAAAGATGAAAGGTTAAGATATTTTTGGTGTACTTTAGTATTACTGGACTTTGGCCCTATATTTTCAAACCTCCACTTTGTTTCCCTCTGTTCTCCTCCTACATAACTTTGTTTCCCTCTGTTCCCCTCCTACATAACTTTGTTTCCCTCTGTTCCCCTCCTACATAACTTTGTTTCCCTCTGTTCCCCTCCTAGACAACTTTGTTTCCCTCTGTTCCCCTCC